TACATGATATTTGTATAATCACAAAATTTCATTTCATAGAACATTTTTTATAAGAAATACCATATTTATTTTAGTATTTGATCAATTCATTTTAGTCAAAAAATGAAACTAATTGATTAAAACTATATAATCCATTTTACAGAATCACGATTATTCCTATGATATTGACAAATCTTAACAGAGTAAATCTTCAAAACAATTAACACAATTCTCAAAAAAGTCAAAATATAAGATTGATTTAGTTACAAAAAAACACATCTCTTTTATACATAAAATGCAGAGGATTAGAAAAAAATTTCCTAAATGTCATTTCATAATAGTTTTTTTGTTCTTTTTTTCAATACAGAAAATTATGATTCGAAAGCAAAATTCAAAAACTACTCTGTTAATAAAATATTCTAGATTGAATTCATTTGATTTGAATACTTTAAGTATTAAACTTAACTAATTTAAATAATGACTTTACTTTCATCTTTCGAACATTTCATATGAAAATATTCATGTAAATAATACATAACTTTATTTTATCTAAAAAATAAACTACTCATCGATTTCATAAATCTCTCAATCTTTTTTTTTTTAGTATATTTCTTATATTTATATTTTATATATATGAAGTATTTTACTTTTGAAAGAAAATAATTTTGTTTGAAATCATATATAAATTTCATCATAAATTTCTTCTTTTATTGATTCATTTAAAATATATAAATGAATAATGAAAAACAAAAACACATTTTATCTATCGAAGAAGACAACGTTCAGGAATACATTTTAATGCTTCGAACCAATTATTATTATTGTGTTTAAGTGTCATTAATATATTATATACTTGATTAAGTGATAAAATAGTACTTGCACTTGCTGAAAATCTATATATAAATAATGAAAATAAATTTAATTAATTGCATATTATTTATAAAATATACCTAAGATATTTTTGAAGTGGTAATGATTGATGTCGAATTTGTTCATGTTTAGCTTTTTCTAAAGTAATTTGTTCATGTTTTGCTTAAAAAAAAAAAGAATTTTGTTTTTATTGTAAAATTCAAATCAATCAATCAATCATGCAAAATGAATTTACTTTTTTGAAATATTCCACCAAGTATATAAATAACATTATGTTCATATTCACTCATTATATTAGGTGAATCAGGTGATAAATAAACAAGTTGTTATCGAGAAAATAAGTCAAGATAGGAAAGTGATGTTGTTTGACAATAAGGACTATTTTGTAACCATTTATCATTATCATTCGAAGAAAAATTACATAAAATAAGAAAAGATGGTGAATGATATCGATGAAGAAGAGTAAAACATGAATGAATTTTTAATTGAAGTCTTTCATAATAATTATTTTCAAATGAAATATCATTATTATATTCATTAGCAAATGAACAATCGATAATGACATAATCATTGAGACGAGCAGCAACAAGTAATTTAGTTTGACGAAGTTGACGTTGAAGATTAAATAAATGTTGAGGACAACGAAGAAAATGAAAATAATGAAGAGATGATGATGATGACCACCACCACCAAATACGATAACAATGTCGAAAAATCATCATAATTAATTATCTGATAAAAAGAGTGGAATATGTTCATATTATTTACATTTTGTTCCATATTTGAAAAATTATTAACTAGAAA